TTTCAAAAAGCATAATCCTTGGCGTCAGAAGATTTACTCAGTAAGGATATGGTTCTTCACTGGAGCATGCTTTATGTATGGTTAAAGGATAAATCGATGGCATGTCTTTAATCAGGAAAACATCTTTCCGCTTATGACTTAATATTCAATATGACTTATTTCTTTATTTAATGATATAAGAGACAAAATACATGGCTAGGATATCATCGGAAGGTTCCAAAGCCTCTCAAGTCTCTAAAGTACCATAAAAAAATTAACAGCTCAACGTTAGCTTGATTCAAGAATCATTAGGATAGAAAAATGTAAGATGGTATGGATACACACTCAAACAATTCAAACCAAATAGAGGTAATGCCTCACTCTATGTCGTGGAGTGATGAGTGTTTTTTAATTCTTCCTTTGTATATATGAAATATATAGTAACGGGAATTAATCCCATCATGAAAAATTTCAAATCTGAGTTTCAAACAAAAATTATCCTTCCATAATAAACTTCAGAATCATCCCAACCCTCTCGTTTCTAACCTTGCTTTCTCTTCAATTCCTGATAACCCTCCGAGGCGTCTGGAAAGAAGATGGCCCCGTGATCTCCTAATGTAAACATATCATTAGAGTGCTACCATTGGGTAGTTACTCAGCAAGTGTTTTTCATGTCATTATATACATTATGTTCTAATTTACTAGATGTATTTATTTAATACAGTTGTAAATGTCTCTAAGAAATAAAAAAGAAAAAATGCATGATTACTAACTGTTTTTGGGCAATAATCAATGGAAGCTTGCGAAATGATAATAAACACTAAATAATCAATAATTGTAGTTAAGAATTCAACAGATATTTTGAATTAAATTAGAACTACCGGTTCTAATTTAATTAATTACAGTTTAAGGTGCCATGTACAACAACAAAGGTTAGAGGCACCGTGTTTCTGTTAAATAATTTTATATAGTTTATTCTTCTTCAAAAATTGCAGCAAGTTCTTCTGGTTTTCCTGTTCCAAGGCTTGGCGGTAGCTCCGGAATCTTCAAGTGAAATTCTTGAAGGACATAAGCGCTGACAATTTCCCATGATGTGCTCGATGGTCAATGGTGTGTTGCAGCTGATGCATCTTGGATAAATCTTCTCTTCAAGGTGTCCATGAGTCAGCCTAGTATGTCCTATTCTGATTCTACAAATTATGGTTTGCTCCCGACGGTTCCCTGTTATTTGAGGCAGTGGTCCTATATCTTCATAAATGTTCTTCAGTTTGTTGGTCTTTGGGACCTTGGACCAAAATTAGCTCCATGCTTCTTTGCAATGATTCAGCACGGCTGCATTGAAGTCCTACATCACCGTGTTAAGTTTAGGTTATGAAAATATGGTGCAGGCTTCCTTGGCACCTGTGTCAGCCAGTTCATTTCCAGGTCTACCAACATGGCTAGGGACACACGGAAATTTTATTAATTTGTTTGCTATCTGAATTATTTGTGTTATGGAAAATGCAATAGGGTTATTGGAGAGTTGAAAATTTTGTATTTCTTTGAGGGCCGAATATGAGTCACTGCAAATTAGAAGATGAATGTTTTTTAGTTCATTAATAAGATTTACGGATAGATAAATGACACACAACTCGAATGAGAAGACGGAACTGGTTCTAATTTTGCTTTAAAAAAAAAATTAATTAAAAAAAAAATGTTTCTCTGAAACATTAGCTGTAAATATTCTGTAAATAACTGTTTTTGTAAATGGTTCTGTTAACGGAATTGGGAAACGTGTAAACCCGCTATTAGGGACCAGTATCTTAACCAGTTCTTAACGAACTATGAGATATTTTCATTTCATTTACTCGTTGTGGGTGCTGCGGTACTCCATTTTCTGATCTTGCTCGTTCCTGATAAGTTATTGATACAACTTTAGTGATAGCGAGTAGTTCAAGGAAAGATCGAGAAGTTGCAAATAAAAGTCTTCCAGGGCCAAGGCACGTAAAGGCAATCTAATCATGGGCGTAGCGGTCAGCCAGAGTCAAGGCAAAGCGGCCACCCCTCTTCCCTATCCTTCCAAAGTAAAAAATATATAAACCTTATAAATAAATAATAAATACAACAAATTTCTGAGCAATTGAATGTCTGTGACAAGTAGATTGTTAGTTTTTCAACATTTTGAAAGGATCTAATTACTGAAAAATGAAATAAAACCTTCAGCATTTCAATTAAAACATTGTTCTCCCTTTTTAAGAAAGGTTTCTTGAGCTGACTGCACCCTGAAGTCCAATTTAAGTAACATCCATTTTGTAAGATTTACTTCAGTACATCAAAACCTGATTCTCTCCTAGAAGTAAAAAAAAAAAGAAAAGAATTATGCTGTAAAGCCAAACTCATATCATACGACTTTATTCAATAATGATATGACTTTACGTAATCATGGCTTTATTTCCTAAAGCACGACTTTAACCTTCTCAAGGTCTATTTTAAAATCGAAAAAAAAATAAGAAGTCATGCCAAATTCATACTGATGGTGTTTGAGTTGGTCATAAATAATGTCGAAAAACATTTATTGTTTTCCAAAACTATTAAGTGAAGGGCTGCAAATTCGTGATATACATTCTAATATAACAAGAATATTTGATTTTGAATAAGAAATTGTTAAATTTTAAATTTTTTGAAAAATTAAACTAATTTGTCAAAATGTACGATTTACGATTCTTAAAAAGGAAATGTAGGAACAACATCGCTACTTTCTAGGACTACTCAACCAATCCCTAGTAAAAATCCAACAATGAACAAATCTACATTTTAAAAAGTAAAACTAGTAAGAAAGCATTAGCTGAATCTGTAACACAGTTTCTCTTGCAGTGTAAAAAAAAAAGTTTGCTGGAATATATAAAATTACATTAAACTGGTGTAAAGTATTTTATGTATAACCTTGATAACGTGCAATTGGTGTGGGAAAGGGGAAGTGGGAAAGAGACACATGAACTATTTATTTAAAATTTTTTTTAATTTATTTATTTAGACATATAATATTCTGTCTCGAGGACAATAATTATAGTGATAAATGAACACATTCACACCATATATACAAAAAATATAAAATTAACAAAAGTAAAATAATAACTAAATAATAATAAATAAGAACTATGTATAATAAAAAAATAAAATAACCTAAATATAAGTAAATTAAAAATATAAAAACATAGCCATACCTATATACAATTTATACAATCAGGCGGGGAACCCAAATCCCTGCGCTACTCTCTCAACCGCGTCACTGGTGCTAAAGCCAGTGGAGTATTTAAAAATTAATTAAGAAAATTAGAATTATATTAATAGTGACTGGAACCTATCAAACCTAGTAACACTTATTATACTAAGTTAGAAAAAATTAATTTTTCAAATATTTATCTAGTGTTTTGTTAAAAAATACTGTAATTTTTATTTGTTAGATATTTTTGTTTGTATGTTTGTGTTAGATACTTTTTAGAGATATTTCATTTGATAATTTTTTCTTCACAGAAAGTGCGACGTAGAAAATTATTCATTTCTAGTTTATTCGTTTATTCCTTTTGTTTAATTATTTTCCTTGTATCATTGCATGCTTCTCTTCACTTCATTAATTGGTCTGATTTTTTTTCTTCTTTTTTTCCCTGTTTGTTATATGCCTTTTTCCTCTTTCCCAATAGTCAGTGCTTTTCACTTCTTGCTCCGAACCCATATCCACTTGTACAAATAGTTGTCAAAATTGATGCATTGGATACTCAAGCTTCTTAAGTTCCTTTTCATTTTTTCGAATCTTTGGACGACATAAAACTTTTGTTACTATGCAAATTATTAATCCAATTTATTATTTAAACCTCTATTAAAATAATGATTAAATTATTATATAAACCTTAAAAGGTTACAACCATTTAACCTAATCTTTTAAAAGATAATGTTTAATTTATCAAACCAGACAGCATTGAAGGAGGTTTTTTTTACACTGGATGATTCAGTGATTTATATTAAAAGAAAACAGTGACCGTTTGATGCCACCAGCAATATTACCAGTGATTGCTATAGCAATGCGATTTTTTGCCAAGTGATTAAATTTAATTAACATACAAAAAGTAATAATTTATAAAAGTATTGATATCGGTTTAGTTACGAATCTTTAAGATAAGACGAGCTTTTTATACTATAGTTTCAAGAAAATCAGTGGAGGATGACAGTATTATGTAAGTATAGCACTCTGGCTAACGTTAACAGGATATATAAATGAGAAAAAAAAATAAAAGCTCACAAGGAAAACATATTATCCCATTTTAAGCCCCAGATTACGAAACTGCTTTTTATATATGAAGATAATTTTGTTCTATTGAAAAAGCTACCAAATATTAATAAATAAATAAAATTGGAAACTAATTCTACTTTTTTTAAAACATTTTAAATTAAAATTATTTATAGAAGTCATTTGAACGTTCCAGAGTTCTACCTTGCCATCACAATCATACAGCAATACTTTACATTTCTACAAATCATTTGTAAAAAAAAATTTCCCAATACTTCTAAACCATTGCGTGTTAATACAATCGGAGAAATAAGTTAAAACATCGTCCATGCGGAATTAATATTGCCCAAAATCGGTCAAGACCAAGACCGCCTGACTGTTGCTAGACCAAGACCAAGACTAGTAAAAAAAAAAATCGTTTTTGTGAATGAAAATTAATGCAAAATACTTACTAATACTTTAGTTAATATTTGTAAACAATTGGTATAACCAATATACTTTTGGATTTAATTCTTTCAATTTTTCATGTGGGCTTACCTAAGTTTTCCAAGACGGGTCTTGGTCTCGCATTTGGACAACACTAATTTGAATTATTAATTTTAAAAAAAGGTATATCCTAGTATGGCAGTGAAAGAGAAAAATATATTAACATTTCTGAAGATGCCCCTTTAAAAAAACTAACTAGTATCAATCAAATTTATATTTTTGAGGAGTTACATATTTCAAAATAAAATTTCAGGATCAGCAATGGAGGTTACAACAAATAAAATAAAAGTACGAAATTACTCTGAAAATAGTTTATTCACATATCTTACAAAATAAATATACATATTCATATTTACACTATGTAACAAAATACCTGAACTTTGACTAGAATTTGTATTCAAAAACTCATCCATTACAAAAGAAAAAAAATAATGTTCGTATAAAATCTTTAGGCACAATATTGTATTTCTTAATATCTATATTAAAAGTAAAAAATTAAGATATACACATTCAAGTTACAATTATTATCACACATTATATACCCTACTTGAAAGTCAACTTTAGAGTGAAGGCAACATGATGATTAAATTCTATCCTTAAAAATTTATTAATTATATAATTTTGAAAACATCCTATAAAATTGTACAACACAATTATTATAGAAAATAATAATTTTAAAATATTCCTAAACCATTACAAAAAGTTCAACAAACTTAACTGTTGTATACAAATATAATTCATATTATGAAAGTATACTTTGATAAATAATTCGGTAAGTTTATAATTCAAGTTTGTTCATACAAAATGTATTGTTCCCTTTTGTTCTCACAGCAGTCTAGGCCTCTGGTATAGAACCTAAAAATTGTAATTAATTTTAAGAATGTATTTGTTTATTAGTAAAATGGTTCTCTATTTATGATATGTCATGATTGTTTTGAAAATTATTGCATCTGATTCCCGTTTACTGTTAAACAAAGAAGTAATATTAATGATAGTACCGAAATATATATGTTTTCTTTTTCTTTTTGACAAATTTAATTTTTAAGGTGATGAATGAAACATTTATGAATTCTTAAATTTCATTTAATGCCAATTGGCATTAATTATCAATGATATTGATTTTCATTCATGAGGGCAGTATTGGAAATTATGTTGGTAGACGGTTCCCAGTTATACTACACGCAGACGGAGACCACCCTTCAAAAATCACGAGGGCGGTACCAAATTGAATTAGCTGACGTCAGCCGCTCGATACTAGACGCAGTGAAACATGGGCCTCTGGGCGTGCATCGGGAACATGGTTTCTGGTCTCTGGTGCTGGAGGAACCTCTGGTCGTAGTAGCCCTGGTACGGCGGCCAGGAGTCCGCAGACTCCTGTTCGACGAGCCAGTCGTCCTGCCTCCAGCAGAGCGGATTGGACTCGAAGCTGCTGGACGGTTCGTGGAATGGTGTGGACGCTCCCAAGGGTTCTCCAAGTTCCGGGCCGCTGCTGGAACACCTTCGCTGCTGGGCCAAGGCGCAGCTTCCTGTCGTCGAAGTTATCTGAAAAAAAATATATATTTTTAAAATTTTTTTTCAGTTCAATGATACAGTGGTTAGATTTTAAATTTTAAAATATTGCATGCAGGAATAATATTTTTAAAAATATAATTAATTACATATATCGAACTCTTTGAACAACGGACTTCTATAGCTCATATTTAATATAACGCAACGCTAATCTGGTCTAATAATAGTATTACTGGACCATGCTCAATGCAAGCAATACGACGAAAGGAAACCACAACCTTGTCGATGTGTTCCGCGCAAACAAATGGTATTTTATCCTTGACTTAATAATAATCTAACGGTAGGTCAACATTCCTGCTGCGGGACAGATCTTGTAGTTATGATAGGTGTAATGCAAACTTTCACAAACTGCTAGTAGGGCTATCATGTAAATCATAGGTGAGCAACGTAGGACCTCTGATGGTATATGTGCCTATGAGTTTTTGTTTTGCTTTCCTAAAAGTCTGGTACTAATTAATATTTCATTAGGCAGATTGTAGAAAAATGAAAATTTAAATTTAAATTAGCAACGAATATTAACAAAATACTGTCGGTTTATTGCCAAAAGTAACTAAGTACATTTTAGATGGAGCTAAATTTTTAAGAACGTTTTTGTGAATTTGGATCTTATTTATTGATAAAAAAACAAGTTTTCAATACATTACATGGGAATTAATATAATTTAATTCTAACCCTTAATAATGTTAGGGAACATAAGTTTGGTGGTTAATTTATACGTTTTCTATCTATATACTGACATACGTATTTAAAATATCAATTATTCTCTTCTATTGCTCACATAATATATTGTTGTATATGATTTTAAAATTATTTATTTATTTATATTTACATTTTTTAATCAACTAATTTAAAACGATTATTATGGAAATGGCTTAGTTCAAAAATGCCCTATTTAAAAAGAAATACATTAGGCAATTTCGAGTGTAATATGGATGCTTATACCGATTTTTTTTTTGGGTCCTCCCCTTCCTCGCCGTTAAGGCTATACGGGGTTTTCCCGGGCCAGGGAGTGTGGACGGGGATTTAAAAGACTCCCTCGGCACCGGGACGCGAACTCGTGATTATTTTTATGTCATTAGATTCATATGTCAGGTTGCCGGGCAACGGCGGTGCTGTGCACACGCTTTAGCCCATTCGGCCACCCCGCCCACCTATTTTAAAAGTGTACTCAAAAGAACAATTCAACTAAGTTAAACTCTAGTTTAACAATAATCTTTAAAATAGATCTAAAAAATATCACCCCCATTGCACAGATCAAAGACATGGAGATTGCAGAAATGGTGCTTGCTGTCGCATTGTAGCAGAAGTGTTTGATAAAATGCATTAAATGTTAAACTATTCTTAATGCTGAGGTAAAGTTTGGATCTCTTTAAACATACTTATATTTCTTTCTAATTGATTATAAAACGCACTAACAACTAGTTACAAAAATGCTATGATCGGAAAGTTACGGATGCCAAATAAGGTTTATTTGGAGTTAAAGAGTGCAATGATTGAATATGACTAAATTATTTGTGATCACAGATTCAAATTATTATGAAAGGGAAAAAAGTCACGTTGGGATTCAAATGTGAACGATAAGGAAGTCAATGAAGACTACATAATGTTTAACTTCAATGTATATACAAAATATGTTACCTTGTTGCCGTGCTGGCCTATGCTGACGGTGACGCTGCCAAGAGTTAGCGTGACCTGATCCCCTGAGTTGAGTGCCTGCCCGAGCGCCCAGATGTAGTTGTGGGCGAACCTCAGGGTCTCGATCTTGGTGAGCTTGGTGTCCTCCGGGAAGGTGGGCAGCGCCAAGCGAAGCCGATCCAGGGCCTCGTTCAGCATGTGCATCCTGTTCCTCTCCCGATCGTTGGCCTTAATTCTTCTGTGTCGCTTGATCCTCATAACCTGCGGTCAAAGGAGGTCAAGATAGTGTATCCAAAGATAGAACTCTATAGTGTATCATTATACCATATTCCTCTAACCGAAGGAGATAGTGATCGGATGATAAAACTACACCTTCCGTCACCGTCATTACAAAATAGATTTAATACAAATTATTTTCTCTTAGCAACTATATGGGGGGAAGGAGGGAGGTAGAATGAGGTAGGATGAGGGGAATCCCCTGCCCTTAACCCCTGGCCCCGGAAAAACTGCCGTATAGCCTGAAAGGCGAGGTAGGGGAGGAAAAAAAAAAGTTTAACTTAATTTATTCCTTGAAGGTGTTATTTGCAAATCATTTATCAAACAGACAGTGAATTTTGCACACCTAGCGTTCAAACGCTGTTCAGCGTTGTAACGCTGATAGGTCGGACCCTAGTCCAGTACCTGAAAAAGGTTCAAGACCCGATTTGAGTTCTCTAACAGATATATGGTGACCTAATTCGAGGCATTATTGGAATTTTCGTCCCAATTGGAGCCATCTCTTCATTAATGCTCAGAAAACAGATTATTTTAGTCTTATCATATAAAGTTTTTTGAAAAATGTTGACTGTTATTAAGAATCATGCGCTAACAAGAGTAAATGCTCTGATATTAACCGATTAACATCCCATAAGGACAATAAACTTATAGTAAATTTTATTATTGATTTTGATAATAAAAAATATATATATCTAGAGGAGGGTGTGTTGTTATTAGTTATATACTAATAAAGCAATATTTTACTTGGATCATTTGTTTATCTTTTGGACGCCATTTAATATATATATAATTTTAGTTTTAATAACTGACACACGAAAACTAATTCAAGTATTAAAAGTGAATTCAATACCTAAATAAAATAAACATTATTTTATATTAAATGCAATGTTTTATTTTAATTAAATGCTATTTTTCTTAACAAATTGTTGTTTTTCTCCTTGTTATATTAATATATTTAATTTTTTACTAAAATATTATTAAAAAAATACCTGAGTAGGACTCCTAGCCCTGACTATCCTGCGTTTGCCTTTCTTGTCCTTCCTCGACTTCTCATCGTCGGCGTCGATTTCGAGACCGGAATCTGCCGATACTGACATGTCGATTTTCTCGTGGGTACCCTAAGAAAAATAATATATTTTTATATAAAAAATAAAGAAAAAAAAGTAATTAATTTAAGGATTTTTTCCTCCTAAATATCGGGGCTGGACAATTTTTTGTTGACCACACCAATAATGAACCCACAAGCAGATTGACCAAACCCACAAACTGACCCGCATTCTGTTAGCTCGCTGGTACCCGCAGGAACCAAGTTTGCTCAAGCGTAGGAAATAACTCTTTTATTGAGGTGCAAGTATTTCTGAAGTTATTACCTATCTGTACATTTGAATAGATCAAAGGAACAATATTCTGCTCCATTTTTATTTCTACTTACCTCTATATATACCTATATAGTACGTATAGATTATAATACTATAGAGTTTTCAATGGAAATACAGATTCTGAGGTCCCCTGAGTCTAAATAACCAAGTCCCACGAAATGGTGTGTGTGTGTATATATATGTGAACAGCCTAGCTCGAAAATGAAAAGTCGTACGAAACTGAAATTGAGTATTTGAGGATTTTATAAGCATTGGATGCTACAGCAACATTTTCGTCAAAATAGGCAAACCGGATGTGGACTTTATGTCATCGATTTAACACATTTTTACGATTTTCTCAAAACAGGCTCTAACGATTTTGATTAAACTCAGTACATCGGTGTATTATTAAGTAGTTTTTAATATAATGTAGTTTTTATTCTCATTGATTTTCTCTAATGGAACTTAAGTAGCTAATTTTCAATAAGCTCTAAAGTACCTTTAATTTTTTTTATTTGAAATAATTAACCATTACATATTAATCTTTAAAATAAAGAATAGTTCAATATTAAATATGAAACTATTTGATAAATAACTAAAGGAGAAATCGTAACGGATAACAATTAAGTATTTGATGAACCGAAGGAATACGAGAGCGCCCGAGCTCACCCGAAAGATTAGAACAGGCTTTCATATGTAACAGGAGCTTAATATAATACGGACTCCGACAATATTATGTACATATAAATATGCAGTTTTCATAAAGTTATGTTGGTATTATTTAATCTTTAATTGTATAGATTACAGCGATATAAAAATAAAATTTGTACGAGTAATTAAACCAATAAAAATGCCCACAATGAAATGCAAATAAATATTGTGTCTATAAGTTTTAATTTCACTTCCCCTTTGTGTGAAAATACTCATTTCTGCCAAGAGATAAGTGAAAGTCGTGTGATGCGCGTACCAGGTTTTTAAATATTATTTGCGAGCTCAGAAATGTACTTTCAATTTACAAGTCATTTTATCAGTAAATAAAATTACAAAGTAATAATAACTTTTTTAAAAATATTTGTATATATATTTTAAATATTATGATATATAATGGCAGTGGTCAATTCGTTATTTATTTATTATTTACAATAGATACATTAAAGGAGCTCATGACAAATAAGATTTAAAACGAAACAAGAAATTTAATTCATTTCTATACAAAGTATTTCTGTAACTTGTCAAAATTAAATTTTAGGTGAATTTATAAATTTTTGAACAGTAAATATTAAGTCATTTCCTCATAGTGCAATAGCAATTTTCAAGAATAAAAATGATAAAGTTACTAAGTTATAATTTGAATTTTACTCAAATTCATCCACCGACAAATGTAATATTATAAATACATTAATGTATTTTAATAAATTAGTTTATAGTTTATATCGAGAATAATAACTGATGATAATTATTAAAATGATTCCGCGTCTAAAACAACGCTGTATGATAGAATAATAAAGTAGTTAAATGATTATTAGTTATAAGAATGTTTATATTTTTTATTAGGTAAATTGTTAATGAAACTCTTTATTTAATATTTTTAATATTGTTTATGTCTTCATTGTCTACGTTTTAGGCTATTCTTTTATCATCTGAATTACCTAACATTCATGTTTATATTATAGTTTTATAATAAATTATTATATATATTTATTTATAATTTGACGCTTTTATGGAAAGAAAAGTTATTGGACAAATACAAATTTACGAGATAATTAAAAAGTAGTGAAAAACAGAATTATGTTTAAATTTACAGAATTTAATTAATTAATTTTTCGGATAAGAAAATATATACATTATTTTTTTTAAGCAATTGAAAAATGAAAGATATTTATTATTTAGAACTATAAAAAATAGGTACTGTTGAGAATGTTTTCTACTCAATAAATTTATACGGGATGAAAATTACTGTAAGTCGAGACTTACCATAGCTGTACTGATTGTGCTGACGACCTCCTGACTTGACAACCCCTGCTACTGTGAGTTTACTGGCTCCAACGAGGGAGAACAACCCTTAAGCAGGGGGGTGAGGACACGCCCACTGGACTCTCATTGGTCGAACGGCACTGCATGGCTCCCACCCACACTCATAGGAGTCTTTAAAAGTCCTTCACTGGGGATATTTAAAAACCTTAAATGTACTCTGAAAAAGAATGAATGCCGATAAAGTAATTTGAAAAGTTAATAATACAAAGATTTTATGAATTTCTTATGAGTTTGTTTATTTTACTCATAGATTGCTTAATTTTTTTACAGTTTAAATTTTATTTTACATCAGACTAACCTCACCGAATTTATATAATAATAATAATAATACTTTATTTATTCTGGGACGTCCCTTTAGAATAATACAGGAAGACAGAAATGAGGGCTAAGGAGCCTCAGAAATACATAAATAAAAATACAGAGTAATTGAACAATCTTGGTGAAAAAAATAAATCTATATATATATATATATATATATATACACACATATACATATAAGTTGCTTTCCAATTTTGATCAGTTGATAATAAAAAAATAGATAAACAAAAATTTATGTACATATTTTCAGTAGTATCTATTTACGATTGTTACTCTAATTCAATCAAAATTAGATTGAATCGTGAAAAATCACAACATTAACACTTGGATGAAACTCGTATATACCTGTAAATATCGACGGAAACATAATTCCTCAAACGAACACAGCACATTACCTTGGACTTATATTCGACAGGAGAATAATATGAGCCATCCCCTCAAAATGAAAAGAAAGACTTTAAACAAGTGCCTGAAAATACTAGCCTACCTTTTTTCCTAATCAAAATTGAACATCACACAAGAAATAAATATATTTCTTAGCATACATTTTTTAGAATACAAGTAAGTATGATATAGACCTACCTAAACCCACATGGACATATGCCTTACAAATCTACGGTTCAGCAAAAAAAAAAAAAAAAACTTAGGAAAACAACAATATTTTGAATTACATTTTTTAAAAGATTAATAACAACAATTTCCAGATTCGTAAACGACAAAATATACCGACTTAGGAAACATTGTTTTTTTTTTTAATTTTTCTTTTTGTAATAGATTACCTCCTACATCGCAATTTCTGGCATACCGGGGAGGGAGGAAGAGAGGAGGGGGAAGAGGGCGATAGTTTTTTTAAGTAAAACCAAACCACAAAATAAAATATGATTATTGAAATTTATTATTTTCAAACTTTAGTATTTAAAGTCAAGAGCGTATCCATAAGGGGAGTGGTAATGGCCTAAAAGGGGTGACAATTAATTAAATAGTGGGGGAGTCAGTCTTTAGTCTCCGTAATTTGTTTCTTCCAGAATGTTGAAATACTAACAATAAACATATCATTTTTTCATTTATTGCTACTTTATTTTCATTTTTTTACTTTGGAAGGGAGCTGCTGTCTTACTCGTCCCCTCTTTGAACCGTCCATGCTTTTTAATAGAGTTTTTATTTAATAAAGTTATACAATGCAATATTTATAATAGTGTTCCCCAAATGCAAGACCAAGACTCGTCTTGCACACTCTGCCTTGATCTTGCGCAAGAGTAGTGTTGCCCAAAATCGTTTCCCAAAATACCAAGACCGCCTAACTGTTGCAAGAACAAGACCAAGACTGGTAAAATGAATCGATTTTTTGAATAAAAATTAAGGAAAAATAGTGATCAACACTTGACAATTTTAGTTACTATATGTAATGTATTGGTGTAACCAATATACTTTTGCATTGAACTCTTCTAATTTTTCATTGGAGCTTGGTTAAGTTTCTCCTATCTAAAAAAATACAGTAATATCACTATAGTAATAAGCTAACATGTAACTACAAGACTGTGGCTAGACGAGTCTTGGTCTCGCATTTGGGCAACACTAAGCAAGAGTCTTACCTATTAGTATCTTGTTATTTATTAAACGTGTAACTTTAAATCTTAGAAAAGCGTTGCAGAATAGGTACATTTAGATGTTTTAATGACATAAACATAGTTAAGTTCAACCAAATTATTAAAATTAACTTGACAATATATTAAAAACATTGCCTAGAAAGATAGTGATGGGCAGTATATTTAGGGAATTAGAGTAATTCTTTGATAACCTATCAGAGAAATCGTTAGAGTTCGATTTCTTTTATGAACTAAATCAATGTAAACGGGCAAGTGAACAACTATTAAAATCAGTGTATAAAATTCAATATACTGCAGCATTGCTACTGGTCTGCTTTACACGATTTTTGAAGTAAAAACTTCTTTTGGCGCGCTTTGCACTCTTTTTGTGGAGAGTGAATTAGATTGAGCCATCAGATTTCCGATGTGTAACACTCGGGTAGTCTGCTGGAGTTGAATAATTAAAGTGTTTTTGCATGGATTAAAATATCTCAAAAACTAAAAATTGGACTTTGAAATATTTGTAAAATTTCACCTACATATTATTATTTTCCTTTTAATGAAAATAGTTTCTCATACGCTGTGTTATCTGTTTTTTTTTCTTAGTCCTGATGAAGGCCTGAAGTTTGGGCCGAAGCGTCGGTAAGAATTTAATTATTGGTGCAATAAAAAAAAACTACACTATTTTCATAGAAAAAAAATTGTTGACTGATATGAAAAAAGGTCTTTGTTGTAGTTATCGATTTAAACTTTTATCAACCCTTAGGAATATACGATCCATGAACATTTCGGAAATACAAACCCCAGGAGAGTGGCTGATAATATTTATATTAAATTAGGCACACTTGTTCGAGAGGACACTTGCGATCGGCCATATGGCGACCTGCCATTGTCCCAATGACGCAAGCTCGTCGATAGTGGCCAATGAGCCTTGCCAACCAGCCAACTGCTCGGATCTGGAACACTGGGGTAAGGTGCCTCCTCCGTTTCGGAGTCCGTGATTTGGATTCCTGTGATTCCATCAAATCCTTTATAATGTACTGTTTAATAAAACTCCAGTTACACACTCTAAATGATCCCTAGAGGACTCCGTCCAGTTTAAATCGGAACTCTTGACGGCATATGACTTGTTTATTTCACTCAGTTAATAAATATTTGTAAACTCCATATCTTCTGCACCATGTTAGTGTAACGGATGTGCAAGTTAAACAGGTTATGATTCGTTATGTTAACATGATGCCGAATAGTGTTGCCCAAATGCGAGACCAAGACGAGTCTTGGTCTTGCGCACCCATTCTTAGACTTAGTCTAGGTTTGGTGCAAGAGTCTCGCGACGGACTTCCACTTAGTTATTAGCTTATTACTACAGAGATATTACTGCAATTTTTTAGATAGGAGAAACCTAACTAAGCCCAAATGAAAAATTAGAAGAGTTAAATGCATAAGTATGTTGGTTATAGAAATGCTTTAAGCGATCCTTACATGATCATTCGTGAATAAAAGTCACAAGAAAGACAAAGATTGGTCGGGATCGCTTTGATCATGATGACCCCTACACGTTCAATCACTACCGACCGTTTTAGCTCAGTTGACATTGAGATAACAGGCAGCAAGGATCTGGTGGATTGTCCAGTCATAATAATGTGTTTAATTTAAAAAGCTTATTTGGACATTTTCCTTTATAGTATTGGACATCAAGAGAAAAATGGAGATATAATAATTACTTCCTAGTGCCTGAAAATCGTTTAGACCAAAGCTAGAAAAATAAAAGTCAACTACTTACAAAAATATAGGAAAAGTATTGCGAAAATAATCATTTTGTTAAGAAAAATGGAAAAATTAATGACAAATAAACACAACATTTAAAGCTTTTTTTTTCTATATGTAAATTGTTAAGTTTCCACTATTTTTTAAAAAAAAATATTGCCCACTTGACTATTTATAGAAAAAAATAGTTGAAAATGGTTTATAAGAATAAAAACTAGAGATATAAAAAACTATTTACTTTTATGAAATTGTTAATTTAAAAATCAGGAATGTACAATTGTTGTGAGGCCTACGTAAACTAACCTATCTAGCAGTAAGGTTAGTCTCATAGAAAAAAGTTAGTAAAATATAAGTCTAAGAGTGCAAGACCAAGGCCGATTTTAGAACACACTGCTGTCGACGAAATGTTTTTAGACTAGGTATAAAGCTATGGACTACGATTTCACAGTGGGATACATAAGCGGAGTTATTGGTCGGACTAAAAAAGTGTTTGTCTGTTAATATATAATTATGGCATTTCCTTTCTATCGGGAAACTACCATAGTAATGTGATGTTAAGGGTTACCTTGAATTGTAGTGGGTATTGGGTTGTATTGAGATATTGTATGCAACATTGAAAAGTAATATATTTGTGGCTATTAAACGTTTGTTTAAGATACTACATGTGAAAATACCAACATACACGCTATGAACTTAGTTTTTTTTATTTATTGGGTAATATTACATTTTGTCATAATAAAGGGCATTAATAATGGAAGTAGAGTAACTCATTCACAATCTTTGTACAATAAATAAAAATAAATTAAATAACACTAAAGCAAAATAATGATTTTAAAAATAAATAAATATATATAATCAAAAAGAAACTTAAACTAATCAAAATAACAATTTAAATAAAGACATACTTATATACAATATTTAGAAGTGTGATCAAACTTAATTTTCTAATAATTACTGAGTTATTGAAATGTTGATAGAACCAATACAATTTCTGATGTCACATAGGATTGTGGAATTTTAAAACTATCGAACACTTACTACTTCCCTTTAATAGCCGTGTTGCTTTCTTTTAACTGTTCTTACCGGATGGTGGAGTAATTGTATTCTCTCATTTTCTTGCTTGAGTAAATATTATATATATATATATTTTTTTTTTTTTCCCAAAGAATCTTTTACAGCTGACCAGCCCTGTCCTGAACCTGTCATCAGCCTATTATGACCCTTGCTCCCTAAGGGTTCTTTTTAAGTTCTGTTCAAACTCCCCTTATCCAAAGATGGCGGCAACGTCACTGAGTTTTCATAAATTTGAATTTCGTTATATGTGTTTCCTAAACATTTATACTCATTACCATAAACATTTAAAAATTTTTGGATTCGATGAGAAAAAACATATTCGAGGACCATCTAATAAGGGCAAGTGAATGGAAAAATTAGTAACTAAATAATTATTTCAATAATTTCTTAGAAATATTTTATAATTACAAGAATTTCATTTGGGTAAATCAGATTAATTAAATTTAGAAAAAATAGAAATCCCAATAAAAATAGAGCAATGTAAATATATTAAATAAAATAAAATAAATAAAATTAAAACTCAAGAGTCGCTATTTGTAAAATACATTACGTTAGTCTAACTATGGGAAGTTGTGAGTGATATTTCGTTGGAAAAGTGACATTTTTTAAAACAAATCATGGAACTTTTATAGATTCTAGATGTTTTAAAATGAATTAAAGAAGTTTATGGATTTCAAAATTCAATTAAAAAATAAATAGATAAAAACAATTTGAATCCATAATCTGTCTAAATTAAATTTAGACTCAGTTGAAAAACGATGAGACTCCAAATATTTTTGGTATCAAAATTTCAGAAGAATCTGTTGGCTATTGGTATGAAATCACAACACACCAAATGCCAAAGAGAAACAACAGTAAGATAGAACTGAATATCGTGTTTAAAAACATTTTGCATTGCAGGGCAACGAAGAATCTCCCACGCTACCAAGGAAGAACTTGAGGTTACCTTCCATTTAACTCTGACACTCTGTGGTTAGAAGTGTTCTAGTGTTCAATAGTAGTATTGAATAATAGTTGTTAAAAAAGTCTTTCAAGGAAATACTTAGTGACTTTTGACTGATTCTACAGAATACTGAATACTTAATAGTTGACCGTTGTATTATTAAGGAAGGAGATGGGAGGAAGGTCCCGACTTTGCAGGTCTTTAAGTAAGTTTCAAAACGAGTTTTTAAGTGAAACTCCTTGCTAAACACACCTTCCTGAAGAAGACCTACAAAGTCGGGTCGAAATGTTTGCTTTTAATAAAATAGTTTTGCCACTATTTAGTCTATTTATGACCGCCACTCTGTACTATCTCCTTATTTAATTCTAAAGAATATTCGAGCATTAGGAAGAGCTAAACCTATTGGTAAATTGAAATTCATGAACAGAGGCGTTTTGGACAATTAAAGGCCCGGAGCGGATTTATTTCTAAGTCACATGAATCCAAAAATAATAATAAAAAAGCTTTTTTTTTTTAAGTAAAACCAAAAACATTCTGATTTGTTGAAAAAAAAAATATGATTGTTTTTGAAATAATGGCAAACCATTCCCTTCAAGCTATGTTCGTAGATTTTATATGTAATTATTGTGAGAGAATTTAATTGTATAATTTAATAAATGGAAAATTTATTGAAGAATTATCTCTGAAAGATAAAAAAACGGACGATCTTAATAATCCGAATCCCTGCTAGTCCTCTAGTAAATCTCCGAGCAAACATCGGGTAATCCGAACTAGAAAAAAAAAAAAAAAGAAGTGACCGAATGGAAATGACTCTGTTTCCAAGTATTTATTACTGGAATTGCTTTGTGTCACAGGCGGATCTACGGGGGGGGGGAGAGCTTTCGGGCTGAAGCTCCCCCCAAAATTGTAAAATATAAACATGTTTTATAGAAAAAAATATTAAAAACTATCTCTTAAAGTATTATTGTTCGTGTAATTACATTTAATAGGACTTTAAGAATCACGTAAACACTTTTTCATATAGGTATTTAATTTCTTTATTTTTTTGTTCAAATTAATTATCGTTTTATATAAATGAAAAAAAAGCTTTCGGACTGCAGCCCCCCCCCAAAATTAAATTCTGGATCCGCTAGTGCTTTGTGTAGTAGTGTCGAATCGTATTTTGTTGTCTCTAAACGGAAATAATTTAAACTAGGTGATCACCCAGAAGTACAGGAATCTCTTTATACGTGTTTTTTGCAACAGGGATAAGAAGGATTTCCAAAGATATATTACATGAAAAGTAAAAGTTTTTCTTTAAAAACATTTTTAAGAAGAATGTCAAAGAAGATTTTAAGGTCAGCAAAGGTTGACTTGATAATTCCAAAAGCAGATATGGAATACTTTTTTTATATTAATTTTTATTATACTGGAATATAACCTGGAATTTAACCGAGTTTTACTGTTTATTATACATAAGTCATTAAAGCATCATAAAGGCATTTAATACTTGCTTGGAGTTGACGAATGGTATAACTTCGACTACCTAACCCAACAGAATCAGAAACTTGACCTACATTAAATGATCATTTTCAGAAATAACGTTTTTGTTTACGAAGTGTTGATATTTAACTAATAATACATATATTGTCGTTACCTGTTTAGTCTTTGATAATCCGAACAGGCTATGCAATCTAAGTGTTTATCAAGACTGTCCTGTATATTATTTTTGCATCCCATCTGGGGAACCTGTTATAATTAATAAGGATATACTGTTTCTAGACCTGGTGCGTCATGGTCCCTCCTTCTCTATTGCCCTTCAATGGTTCATGTCATAAAGGCTGAGTGTGCCATAGGAGTGTCCTCCAACTATTATTTCACCGAAGATATTTCATGTTTGGAATCCCATACTAAATAAATGAAACATTAATAACTAACTAGACAAGGATTTAGGCTCAATCCGAACAGATTGACCGGAGCTCTGGTAGCCGGATAGAAGAGTGAAGCGCCATCTGGTGCCGACCGAGCGGAGTGCCGTGACTCCTGGCGACACCTGGCCCGATACTATCGGCACCTGTGACTCACATGAGCCGCGATCTGGACAGATTCGGAGTCAACGGCACGCGTGGGGTCAGCAGACCGTAGAAGGTAAACACTCCGCCCATTTAGCCGCAGTCCCGGCCGCACACCTGCTACTTTTAATTTACACCGGCAGCAACAAGCTTCAAGGCGCTCTTGACTTATACCGGAAATGTGGTG